CCCCACGCCCCAAAAAAAATTTAAGTTTGTTTTAAAAAAAATATTCAATTTCAAAAATTATTTTCTACTCTAGTAAAAATAAAAGATATTTCTCAAAAATATTTTTTCATTCATAAATCAAACACTAAAAATCTTTTTCGGAAAATATTTTCTACTCACCAACCAAACATGAGAAAATAAGTCAAAAATCAACTTGTTTTCCAGGAAAATATTTTCCATGGAAAACATTTTCCTTCATACCAAACACACCCACATAGTCATTCATTGATTAAAAGCTAATAAAAATTGCATGTTTTATTTCAGTGGCTATTGTCAAGAATGCCTTCTCTGATTGTTGTTGTGACTGTATGATCTAGGAATTTAATATATTTTACCATATTCAAGCATGCTAGATTATAGTGTTGCCCCCATTTGGCTGATTATTAATACCAATGTAATATTTCCTAGCGGAACAAACAAGTGTGGTTTATCCCAGGAAGTTTGGTTTTTTTTTAGCATTTGGGAAATGTTATCTTGTTAAATGAGTTGATTTTAAACTAAGTGCATTTGTTTTACATTTTCTTGTTAACTTAAGCATATTTGGTTGTGTTATGTCTTCTTAGTTAGCATAGTTTGATATTTGGATGTAGCTGAATCAGTCATGCTTGATTTGCTAAAGTTTCAACTTCTCTCATTTGTTCATCACATAGCTAGTATATAATCTTCAAATAAGCTCAAAGATTTAGAAGTGTTCAATGTGTTTTGGAATAATATCATACGCTGTGATTGATTTCCCTAGATGATAATGCAATGTGGTTGGAAAATAATAATGCTTACATGTGGTCTCTTCCAATTCTTGGTGTGTAAGGTTAACTGCAATTGAATTTGCAATGAAAATGCCAAAGTTTCCTTTAGTTTAAAACTAGTACATCAATTAATCTTCTTATTCCATTTGCTAATTTGTATTTATTTGTTCACTTTATGTATGTCCGAGTGAGTCCTATGTATTCATGTCTACATCTCGCATTTCAAATGGGCCTCGCAGGTAGGGATGCGCATCAGTCGGTTCGGTTTTAGGTGTTATTGGTTCGGTTTATCGATTTTCGGTTTGTAAATTCGTCAAACCGATAACCAAACCAATAACATATTTCCTATCGATTTTTGGTTAATCAGTTTATGGTACTTAACGGTTTGGTTTTTGGTTTAACCAATAAGAAAATACTCATATATATTATATACACGATAAGAAAATTTTCAAATAAACCATATGATTTTTCCAGCATTTGGCATGAAAGTAATAATCATAAAAGTAACAATCATTTTTCTTGCAAGTTTAGACACTAGACACATTCAAAGGAAAAAGTGTGAAAGTAACAATCGTTTAACCATTAACAATAAGACTAGTAAATTTAGTATAGTCTTATTGGGTTATCGGTTTAACCATTAACAAAAATTATAAAATCGGAAATTGAACCAATAACCCAATATCAATAAACCAATAGTGTTTTTTTCGGTTCGGTTTATTGGTTAAATTGGTTTTTGCACACCCCTACTCGCAGGCCTAAATCTCCCTCTTATCGAGTCAACCTCATCATTGGGAGCATATGAAGTTCGAAGAGGAAATCTATGTTATAAAAGAAGCTGAAACAGGTCTCAAAAAGCCCAAAAAGAGGTTGTATACAGCTGTATGCATTGATATACAGGTCAAAAACACAGGAACACAGGGCGGAGGTGAAACACGGATGTTCGGAAGCAAGATATACATGAAAAACACCTATACACACGCTGATATACACTGACATACATCAGGTGTATACAAAAAGGGGAATTGGGTTAAGCCCAATAGTAGCAGCGAATTTGGCCCAAAAAGGGCCCAAATTCATTTCTCCTTTACCTTTAAATTATTTAATTGTCTTTATTCATTGGTTGTTTTTATTATCATTAACTCTAACTTTAGAATTGTTAATTAACTTGATTAAATTTCCCAAAAGATGAGTTTATTTTCTTTGTGTTGGTTTAATTTTAATACATTTCATGTTTTGTGTTCATTTATTTTAGTGATCAAGTATATTGGTCAAAACTTTATATCTTCAATTAAGTTAAATCTTTTGTACTTAAAAAGAGATGTTCTTGAATGTTTTTCACTTAATTATATTTATTCCTTTTAAAATTGTTTTTAAGTTAAAGTATTTTTCTCAAATAAACTTTAAAAATGTTAGTTAAAACCTTTTCAATTAATAATTAAAAAAAATAAATATATATATATACTTACTTAGTCATTTTCTCAAAAAGGTTAGTCAATTAATTTAAAATGATGTTCATGTTTTAATTTATTGTTTTAAATTATTATATCAAAATGAATTAAATAAATTCTAATTAATCTAGTTTTATTAATATTCTAATCAGTTATATTTCGAGTCAAATGTTTCATTTCGGATCCCTTTCTCTAAAAAAAAAAATGAAATAAAATGTATCATTTATTTAATTTTTTTTTTTAAGTTAACCAAATATCGTACATTATTATTCTTATGTTAAATCATTTTTTCTAAAAAATAGTCAAAACATATATTTTAGTCAAGTCGCAGGTCAACCGCATGTTAGCGGACACTTTGAATGCTTAAACCCTTCTCGAAGTGTAAATTGAATCCCGAACCCTCTTTGATATTTTCAAGTGATTTTTTCTGTTTAAATCTTTGAAAATTATAAGTTTTCTTAATTTCTTTAAAAAATTAAGTGGTGACTCTTTCTAAGTATTTTTCTGAAATTGTTTTATAATTAGAACATTTCAAAAGTGATTTTTCTAGAGATAGTCAAATTACGACACAACACTTTATACTCATATTTTTTATTCTCTATTTTATTATTTTATTCTCAATATTGAACTCTCTCCTACAATTTTTTTTGTTTTATTGTTGCTTACAAGTTACAAAAGAACAAAATTTGCTTTTGGATGTCTTCTTCAAAATCTCAAAATGTGCAACAAGCAATCGTTATATTGAAGGAACACTAAGCTATTTCGATATGTTTTATCAATTTATCAAATTCATTAGTCAGGTTTTATTATTCTAACTTTAGTTTATAGTTTTTCTTGAAAATATGTTATTGTTGATATATATATATTAACTAAAATTGATAAAATCTTATCTAAGATAGATGGAATGTATTAACTATATTATCAATTGAAAAGTAATTAATAATTTTGCATCTAAAAATGCTAGAAAATTAGATTTTAAATAAAAGTATATATGATGATTTTTTTTAAAAAGGGAATTTAAAAAAAATATTAGGACCCCTCTTTAAAATTTGGCTTTAGGCCCCCAACCTTGTTGAGTCGACTCAGGGTTGACGTCAAGTCTTCTACTGAATAGGACCGGCCATCAGTTATTGTTCAACTGTACAGAACATCTAATTAATATACAATGACTTTCAATCACAATGTAAAACGATTTCACTTACATCTTTCCATCTTCCTTGATGGTGCAGATTCTGGGATTTTTCATCCACTTATTGGAAAAAAACATTTCTTTTTGACATAACGTCTTAATTTTTTGTAAAAGGAGAGCCTAGCTAATTTAAACTGATTTGTGCTAAGTCTAAAGAGAGGTCATATCCCCAAAAAAGGCACAACAGAAAGAATTCATATATTTTAGAAAACAATGTTTGCAGAAAAGAGACTGTATTTTCCTATCCTTCTCTTCATTTATCTCTTCTTTTGTTCGTCTCAATTTGCTATATCGCAATCTTTATGGGACTACAACACCACTCTTCCGAATTCTACTGCCGGGCTTTCCTCTTTCTGGATCAACAGGCCGTTTCTTATTGTTAATTCCACCACTGACGGCTTCTATGGTTCGACAACACCCATACTTCAGCAGGGAAATGCTGGCCCACGATTCCTCTGTTGCTTCTACTGCAGGTACAATGCCACAGAATGCCTTCTTGGCATCCTTTTGTATCACAATAAATACAATGAGGAGAACGGTATGATAGATAAACCCCAGCTAGTTTGGTCTGCTAACAGGAACCATCCAGTGAAATTCAATGCAACCTTGCAACTAGGCCATGATGGCAACTTGGTCTTGGTGGACTCTGATGGCACTCTTGTTTGGTCCACTAATACTACTGGAAAATCTGTTTCTGGCTTAAACTTAACAGAAATGGGAAATCTTGTGCTCTTTGATAAGAGAAAACGCGCAATTTGGCAGTCTTTTGATCATCCTACAGATTCTTTGCCTCCAGGGCAGAATTTGGTTTCCGGGCAGAAGCTCATAGCAAGCGTTTCAGCAACTAATCATAGTCAAGGTTTGCTTGCTCTTACTGTTCTCAATGGAAGCTGGGCTGCTTACACAGATACAGTTCCACCTCAATACTACTACACTTCATCCTATGCTGATAGTCCTTACTACAGTTTTGATGGCCAAAGCTTTACTGCTTTACACTATCCTACTAAATCAAAAGCTCAATTCATGAAGATTGGGCCTGATGGACATATAAAGGTATACAAATGGTCTGTAGTTGATTGAAACGAAGTATCTGACATTTTGTCGCCATATGTAGATAACTGTGGGTACCCAATGGTATGTGGAAGTTATAGCATTTGTACAAATAACGGGCAATGTACTTGTCCGCCACACGAAAACTTCTTCAGGTCATTTTCTGAGAGGAAACCAGATCTTGGATGTTCACAGTTGACTTCCATTTACTGCAACTCCTCGCAGTATCATAGCTTCGTAGAGCTCAAGAATACTACATATTTTGTATTTCAGTTCAATCATGAACTAAGTTCGAAGATATTTTGGCTTGAGGGGAAAAAGTTGGAAGATTGCAAAAGGGCCTGTCTGAGAAACTGTTCTTGCAAAGCTGCTGTTTTCGTATATGATTGGAAAGGGGCTCAAAGAGGGAACTGTTTGTTACTGAATGAAGTTTTCTCTCTCACAGACAGCGAAGAAGGAAGAGGCAAGACAGTATTTCTTAAGGTGCAAACTACCTCAGAGGCGCAGACTCAGGCTCTAATCATTCCTGGAGGAAAGAAATCAAGACCTTTCAAAGTGATAATAGGATCTACTCTTGCAGCTTTCTTTGGGATAGTTTTAAGCATAGCTACTTGCTTTGTTATTTTCAGAAAGAGGACACATGAGTCAAGAAAGGCTGCAGATTATTTGGATCTAGCACCAATCTTACCGGGATTCCTAACTCTATTCTCTTACAATGAGCTGAAAATAATTACAGATGATTTCAGTAGAAAGCTCGGGGAAGGAGGATTTGGCTCTGTATATGAAGGAACACTTTGCAGTGGCACCAAACTAGCTGTGAAGCATCTGGATGGTGTAGGTCAAGTAAAGGAATCATTCCTAACAGAAGTAAGGACAGTCGGTGGCATTCACCATATCAATCTGGTAAAACTCATTGGATTTTGTGCTGAAAAAAACCACAGGTTTCTAATCTATGAGTACATGGTGAATGGATCGCTGGATAGGTGGATTACGCATGAAAATCAAGAGAATGGGATTACATGGAACACAAGGCAGAGGATAATATCATATATCGCCAAAGGGTTAGCTTATCAACATGAGGATTGCAGCCATAAGATAATTCATTTGGACATCAAACCACAAAACATCCTTCTGGATCAATATCTCAATGCTAAGATATCAGATTTTGGGTTGTCGAAGCTAATTGAGAAAGACAAGAGCAAAGTTGCGACTAGAATGAGAGGAACACGGGGTTATTTAGCCCCTGAATGGTTGAGCTCGGTAATCACTGAGAAAGTTGATGTGTATGCTTTTGGAATTGTGCTCTTGGAAATTCTCTGTGGACGAAAGAATTTGGATTGGTCCCAAGCTGTTGAAGAAGATGTCCATTTGCTGAGTGTATTTAGGAGAAAAGCGGAACAAGAGCAGCTCATGGATATGGTTGACAAAAACAACGAAGACATGCAGCTGCACAGGGAAGCAGTGACAGAAATGATGAGCCTTGTTGCATGGTGTCTACAGGGCGATTTTTCCAAGAGGCCTTCCATGTCATTGGTGGTTAAGGCATTGGAAGGTTTGGTGACTGTTGAAACCAACTTGGATTATGATTTCACACATGTACCTGAGGTTAGAGCAGGCAACCAACAGAGGGAAGTCATTATCAGTTCAAAATCTCCTTCAATTTTATCGGGACCAAGGTAAACAATATCCATAAGATTTTTCCTTTGACGGAACCAATTTATGGTTGCGTAATGTCAAATATCGCAACATTTTCAATTCTAGCATAACTGTTTTACGGTGTATGAGCATGTAATGTTCAGTAACTTCCATATTAAATTTTCGAGCTTCATGTTACTATCATGTAGAGGCTTCTCAATTCATGTTCGAAAATAAGTAATAATGTTGTATGTGGTGGTGCAGCTACTGAATTCAAATGGTAGTATGCAGTAAGCTTTATTGTGTTATGCTATCAGAAAAGGCCATTTTCTTGTTTTTTCATGAGATATCCATCTATCCAATGATCCATATACCATGTAAGCCTGTGTATTATGTATGATAATATGATTTGGTTAGGGTGGGCTTCTCTTTATCCAATTTTAGCACATTCAATACGTCGAGAGGAATCACAACACAAAAACCTTTTGTGCTATCATTTTCTAAACTTCTGTACTTGTAAGTTGTAACACTCTTTCTAGCAACTTTGTAAGGTAGTTTAGGCATCAAATGGCGTAGTTTAAGTGCCCAATGCATAGGGGAAAAGACCAAAACGACCCTGACTTAAAACTGACGAAGTGCCACTCACGGTGGGACTGACGGGCCATCATTAGAACCACTTCCCGTTAATTGGGTCGTGGTTGTGGCCCTGCCCAACAGGGCTCTACTGAAATGAGCATAACTTTTTATTCCGAGCTTGGATTTTAG